CAAAAAGAATATGGTGGAGCAAGCAAGAAATTTCAGATTAGTACCTTAAAACACAAAAGATTATCCAAGAAGCACAATTACTAGTAAACACAATGTGCACAGTCTGTAGAAGATTCCTCATGCAAGAAAGTGATGCATTATGTGAAACGCATAGATCCCATGATAAAAAGTGTGTGTGTGACTTTTGGAGTTCGACAAACACTAGATTCAATCCTAGTAGTGATCTGAAAGTTGGACCTTCGACAAGAGAATCTAAGCACGACAAAGGAAAGTCAAACCACTAGGAATCAAGGGGTATTTGGTGAGTAAAGGTAGAGGCTCCCCTCAATCAATGAATCTTTTTTTTTTTTTCACATTCTTTCTTTTGCACATTTTTTCTTTCTTCATAATACAAACACAACTTTAGAAAATTTGCAAAATAAAGAGGCTAATCTACAATATAGCTAAAACAATGAGGCTGTTCCATAAAATAAAATAAAAAGTGTAAAAGAAATTCACAGTGTAACCCAACACATTGCGAACCGAAATCAGGGCAGGGAGAGAGAGGGAGAGAGAGAGAGAGAGAGGAGCATCTGAAAATGGCGGCTATGGTCGCGAACAGAGCAGCTTCGGGGGAGAGAACAGCCAGTCTCTGGAGGCTATCGTTTAACTTCCTCAGAGAAGGTGGTTAAGAGACTCAACATCACCCATGATATACTAGTATAGGTCAATTCCTCTAGAAACGCAAAAGATCAATGACAGAAGTCCATAGAGAAAAATAATCACTAAGGCGGAAGACTCCAAAATTTCCTAATCCAAGAGTGTGTACAGAATGAGACATACTAATAAAAAACACACACTCTAAAACGAGTAATGACCACAGAAAGCACACATATATTAACATGTAATGGATATTCTTATCAATTCCAATATGCACCAAGGACCACTCAAAAATTTCAAGCTTGCAAAACCATACTAAGAAAATCTTTTTGGTTTTTTTTTTTTTTTTTCAAAAAAATAAAGCAAGACAAAAACCAAACATGCACACATTTTTTTTTTCTAAAAAAAAAAAAAACACACAGAAACCCAAAAACTAAAACAAATAAAAAAATTAATACAAGTCAAGTTTTCTCACCCAAACCGCTTTAGTACGAACAAAATTGTAAGAATTACGATTCTTGGGTGGTGTCTTGACGTTGTGGTTCCTTTCCCCTGCAATAGGAACATGTCTCGACATGGTTTCCAACTTCCTATTTATAGGTCTAGGCAAATACACTCTCCCATGCAACTTATAACAATAAGGGCGAATATGACCATGCACACCACAATGATGACAAATAAAACAGGGTGTACCTTCTTTTCTTTTACCTTACCAACTCTAGGAAGTTTAAGAAGTCCATCCTTATGTTGAATTTTTTGCTCTCCCTTTCCTTGAGTTCTTGTATCATGAGATGTTGAAGCACTCTGTTGTTGCTCTTTCTTACCACCAAAGTCAATGTCACTCTTGTCACAACTCGTTTGTTGAGACCCAATGATATCCTCAAAAGTCTTTGATCCTTTATTCCAAAGACCAATGGTAGCCATAGCACACTTGAGTTCTTCCTCTTTCTTGATCATTCATTCTTCCAAAGCAACTTGTGACATCTCGAGAGATTCAATCTTTTCTTCATACATGGCATGGGTTTGCAGTAGCTCATTCCTCTCTGTCTCACAAGTCAACAGTTTTGCACAAAGAACTTGTCGATCATCAGCTACCTTGATGGCATTAATCCTGGCCTCGGAAATCTTCTCCTTAAGTTTGACATTCTCACTTTCACATGCTTTGAGTTTCTTTGTGAGTTTGTCATTCAATTTGAATAAGTTAAGAGACTCCTTATACAACTTTTCATAAGCTTGCTCAAGCTCTTCATGATCACTCTCCGAGGATTCATCATCAGTGATATTCTCAACTGACCTCTTTGGAGAATCTGTTTGTCCTTCAGCTTTGGAAGCCTCCATGAAAGCAAGGAATTGTTTATGTCCCTCTTCGCCTTGATCTTCATTGTCACTTTCATCTTCATCAGATTCAGATTCAGTATCCCAAGTGATGGCAAGGGCTTTCTTCTTCTTCAAACGAGTGGGGCATTCTTGAGCAAAATGGCCAAATCCTTGGCATTCATAGCATTGGAGTCTTTCAGAGTTCCCTTGTATCTTTCCTTTCTCCTTCTTGGCTATAGAATTAATTTTGAATTTATCTTTGCCTTTAGATTTATGAGTATGAGTAGATTCTAAAAGATTATGATTCTTTTTCAAAAAAGATTTTTTAAATTGTCTAACAAAAGCAGCCGTAATCTTGGAATCTATCTCATAATCCTCATCAGAATCCTCTCTAACTTTATGAGCACTACTAAACGCAATATCTTTTTGTTTCTTTTTGAAATTCCTGTGTGCCTCATAAGTTTGGAGATTTCCAACCAACTGATCTAGCTTGAGGTTGTCAACATCTTGAGCCTCTTCAATAGCCGTAACTTTTGGTTGGAACCGATCGGGCAAGGATCTCAAAATTTTTCCCACAACTTTGGATTCTGGTATTTTTTCACGTAAATTGAAGCTGGAATTTACAATGTCACTCAACTTCACATAAAATTCATCAAAGCTCTCACTATCTTTCATTGAAAGGTTTTCGAAACTAGATGTGAGCCTTTGAAGTTTTGAACGTTTAACCGAAGGAGTGCCCTCATGAATAGTTTGTAAGATATCCTAAGCCTCTTTTGCGACTTCACAATTGCAAATACGACTAAACTCTTCAGGTGTGACAGCGCAAAAGAGAGAATTGATAGCATTACTATTCCAGCTACTATTTTGGTAATCAGTTGTGTCCCACTTATCAATTGGTTTAGGGAAAGTTACTCCATCAATAGTAATTGTTGGTTCGGTCCACCCATTCATGACGGATTGCCAAACTTTTTCATTAATAGATTTTAAAAGAGATCTCATTCGAGCTTTCCAAAAAGAATAATTGGATCCGTCAAGTAGGGGTGGTCGAACCATAGAATTTCCTTCACGAATTGTATCCATTATCACAAATCGAACAAGATCTCATTCTAAAAGATTTTTTTTAAAAAACAAAATAGAACGACCTACTCTGATACCAATTGAAGAATCTAGAAATCCCCCCTAGATATTGATTTGTGATTATGTAACAATTTTAAGCAGTATATAACAATCCCAATCAAACAATTAAGACAAATCAACATAACGATTTTAACGTGAAAAAACCACAATTGGACACCTCCAATTGTGATTAAAAAACCACGGGCAACAGCACAAAACAATCCACTAAGAAAATTTAAAGGAATTACACAGGCATACGCTCAATTACCTAGCGAATCCACGCCTAATTGAACCAACCTCTATGTGCCTCTTCCAACCCGTCTTCACCTCGGAATTGTCTTTATTAAACTCAATCCACCAACGAAACCAGCTCGAATTCTTCAGAATCCACCGAAGAACAACTCTCTCTTTTGTAGAACAAACAAAACCTTTGATGTATACTCTTTAAAACATGAGTTGAATACTCAATCCAAACATCAAAGAAAACTCACAAAGTATCCCTAGATATAAACCCTAGAACCCAAAAAGAAGATCTGGAGTAGTAATCCTAAAATTTGACCCAACACGCGAATTTATAGAATTTGTCCCGCGATCTCCGCTCGAGCGCCCAACAGCCCGCTCGAGCGACTTCAGCAAAATATGCGCGTGATATAACAGAGGTTCGCTCGAGCACTAGAGAACCTGCTCGAGGGCGAAATCACACAGCTCAGTACTTTTACAAGTGACCAAAACTTCTGGAACTAGGGATTCTCCGCTCGAGCGGGTAATGTTCGCTCGAGCGGACAGGCAACTTGGAATGCATTTTGCATCGGGGACGCTACCCCTCGACCCCGCCGTGGCACTGCCCCGGACCCACCAAGGGGCGCTGCCCCCCGGACCCCCGCGAGCTGATCGGGCAGCTCGATCCCCGTCATAATCAGTGAAGTGGCAATCTTGAAAGCATTAGCATCACAAACTTCTCTGAAAGGCACAATTCGGGTTGGATTCGCATCTAAACACTCATAGCCTCACTAAAATAAAAGTGTGAAATAAATACAACTTAAAGGAGTTTTGTCAAACGGAGTTGCCAAGAATAAAACCTAACAGTTTTTATAGAAGCTTAGTTTACTTTTAAAGGTTTAGGCTTTTTTATGCTTGATAAATCACTTGGGAAGATGATGCTCTTTTTATGCAACTGATGGTGCTCAACATTAGTTTTCTATAAATGTAGCCATTTTGCATTTCTGATAAGAAAAGATATGAACCATCTACAAGATTTAAGATCTCTGCAACCATCTCCGTTGTTTGACGGCATTGCTTGTCGTCTTTGAGGGTTGTGTGCAAGTTTAGTTCGAAAACGACGTCGTACCAGCAGGAAGAAGATGAAGGGGAAAAAAATTGAAGCTTGAGTAATAATTTCAATAGTTTAAAGTTTAATATAAAATTTTATATTTTATATTTGAGTTTAATGTTTATTGTCTTGAGGGCGAATTACACTAATAATTCCAGTAGTTTAGGACTTCTACCACTTTGGTTCATAATATTTCAATTGTGATATATTTGACCATGAATTTTGAATCTCGTTCTAAATAATGACAATTGAAAATATTATTGATCCATTAAAAGAGTAAAGTCGTCAATTTGTTAAATATAAACTAGTTTGACAAAAATAAATGTCAAAACATTATTTTTAAATTTTTAAAAATTATTTCTACTAACCAAAGAAAAAAATTATATAAAAACGATAAAATTTTTACATTTTTATTTTTCAACTAAATTAATTTTTAGTATGTATTTTGATGATGATAATGTAATAGGTAATTGTTTTTGTTGATATTTTTGGATGGTTATCATGTAATAGATTATTGTATTTACTATTAATAGACATTTTTTGATGGTTATTATGTAATGGATAATTTTTAGAACTGATAAGGTCTTACCACTAGAAAATGATCGTTACTAAGGTGTCAAAGGCTGGAGAACGGAATAAGGATCATGGATGCTCGATGGAAGGAAAGGATCACTTGATCCAAAGCACCAAGAAAATCAAAACCAATGTAGATCTGGAGGATGAAGCCATGGGGGAAAAATGTGGCGATGGGTACTGGAACAGGGATGGATACGCCCAAGCCAAATCAAAGGATCAAAGCTAAGAATGAAGGGAAATCTCTTCAAAATGGAGAGAACTCAACTGCAGAACAAATGGAGACCAATGGGGCCCAAGAAGCAACCATGATTGAGGAGAAATACCTTTGACATAGAGAGAACTCAGGCGCAGAACAAAGGGAGACCAATAGGACCAAGGATGCTTCAAAGTCTTTCAAACAAGCATTACTTCAATCGCGATTCAACGAGAATGGGAATGAAAAGAACTTTGATCATGATGTTGACGAATTATCCTCTAATAAAGTAGCCACAGATATGATGAAGCTCACAAAGAATGAGGATGGGGAGATAGAGGAGGAGATAGAGGAGGAGAGGGATGGGATTCTTAGAGTTAAAATACCAACAAATTTGTTGAAAAAAATTAGAGAGCCATGGAGAAAATGCTTGATTGTGAGACTGTTGGGGAAAACCATAGGCTATAAGCTATTTATAGCAAAAATGACTGAGATTTGGGAACTCGAAGCTAATTTTGAAGCCCGGAATGGTTTCTTTATTGTCAAGTTTGACTTGATTGATGATTACATGAAGGTATTTACTGGAGGACCATGGATAGTAATGGATCATTATGTTATAGCGAGAAAATGGCAACAAGATTTCAAGTTGAATGAAGCAGAAGGGGACGCCACAACGATATGGGTGAGGTTCCCCACCCTGCCCTCTGAGCACTACAACGAGAAAGCCCTATTCCATATTGCTAAAGTGCTAGGAACTCCATTGAAGATTGACATCAACATAGCTATGGCAGCATGGGGAAAATATGCTAGAGTCTGTGTAGAGATGGATCTCCAAAAGCCATTGGTTTCCTAATTTTTCATAGATAAGTATATTTATGGAGTTGAATATGAGCATCTATACTCATTTTGCTTTTCTTGTGGTAGGGTAAGGCATCGAAGGGAAAGCTACAGTAATAGATCTATACCGGCAACTAAAGCACATAAACAAGAGATGATTGGAGAAGAAAGCCATATGAAGAAAGGCCAAACTACAGATAGACCAAACCCAAAAGTAGTAAAACAATGGAGTGAGCCCATTCAAGAGAAGTATGGAGCATGGATGACTGTCTCTAATTAGAAAAAGAAACCAAGAAGCCCAATAATACCAAAAGGAAACAATACGCAATAGAGTAACATATTTGGAATACTTACAGAAGAAGGTGAACCACATAAAGGCCATAAAGCCCAAATAGATAAAGAAAGAGGCCCATATGGTAAGGCCCAGTCGGAGGCAGGCTTCAAATACAGATCAAAGCCATATAAGAGAAGGAATAATAATGGCTCTGAAATGGCTAAGGACAAGAAAAGAGAGGAGATTAGACTGGGAAGAAAGGTATCACTGATATGGAGATTCAGTATCTAGGGGCAGAGCTTAGGTTTGGTGAGCCATCATCTTCTTTGAACCAGTCAATTCAAGAAGCTTTGAACCAAGATACTTAGAAACTGAGCACTATTACCCAAGCCCCAACCAACCAACCTACCAACAGTACCATTCAACCTCAAACAACACAGAACAAGCTTGGTTTTAACAAACCCAAGTTTAGGGATCCATCAAATAAAAATAGAGGAGGAATAAGAGAACTATCCGATCGAGAAGCACAATTTGACCTAGAACAGAGTGTTGGTGTGCCTCACACCAAGGAAAGAAGTGTTTCACCTCATCGCCTCAGAATGATGGAACAAAGAAGTAAAGCTGAGAATCTAGGCTTGAAGACAAGCAGATGCAAGTCAAGATCAGCACTACATCTCAATGAAACCGATGAAGTCAATGAAAAAGAACCATCAAATAATAAAGGACTATCTGGCAATTGATCCCCAAAACATTTTACCTAACCAAAATATACATTCAATGGATTTACTGATCTGGAATTGTAGAGGCGCCATTAACAAGAAGTTTAAAAGAAACTTGAGAGAATTAGTTCAAATTCATAAATCAAAACTAATTGTTCTCATGGAGACGAAAGTGGAACTTAGAGATGTGGGAATGTTCTTTAACTGTATGAGGTTCATAGCATCAGCACATGTTGATCCCATTGGTCGTAACAGGGGTATATGGATGATTTGGAACCCTAATGTGTGAATGTAAAAGTGGTAGAGGCTTGCTCTCAACAAATAACAACAACAATTTCTCAATAGGATTACCAAGACCGGTTACTATCAGCAGTTTATGTAAGCCTTAATGCTAGTAAGAGAGATGAGGTATGGGAACAACTAGAGGCTATGGCTCAGCTCATAAATGAACCTTGGCTAGTGGTAGGAGACTTCAATGACTTCATCTCCCAAAATGAGAAATGAAGCCTACAAGGGAGCAATAATCAAAACATAAGCCAAGATCAAAGGAGAAGCAAAAAGTTCAATGAAAGACTCAACAACTACAAGCTGATGGATTTGGGTTGCATAGGATCAAGGCTGACAAGGTCTAATAATAGGAAATGATGGGCAGATATAATGGTAAGGTTGGATAGAGCTTTGTGCAACACTGAGTGGAGGACTACATTTCCAGATGGAGCTATTCAAAATCTACCTCGCACAGACTCAAACCACTCACCAATGATGGTGTTTACTCATGGTAAGTCTCCTTTTAACCCTTCTTGTAAAGCTTTTAAGTTTGTGGTTGCTTGGATTACTCATGATAATTTTAAGTCTGTGGTGGAGGAAAGTTAGGCTAAACCTTCTCCCTTTTTGAGCAAGAGGCTTAAGAATCTTGCCCAAGAGGCTAATACCTAGAATAGAGAGGTATTTGACAATATTTTTAGGAGGACAAGATGGCTACTTGGGAGGATTGAAGTAATCCAAAAATCTCAAGATACCATTTACTCTCATAATCTTCACCAATTGGAACTAGAACTTGTTGAACAATACAATCAAGTATTGTATCAGGAGGAACTTTTGTGGTTCCGAAAATCTACCCTTCTTTTACCTTATAACATTGGCTAAAAAGAGAAGGAGAAGGATAGAGATGCTTAAGAATAGGAATGGGGTATGGGTGGACCAACTTGACCAACTTAAAGATTTGGTAACTAACTATTTTGTTAGTCTTTTTGACTACGCCCCATCTACTTTCTTTGAGCATTAGAGTAATCTGATGAGTTGCAAGTTGAATCAGGAGGATAATGTTGGTCTTACTAAGGCCATTTCTAATAAGGATGTTTGGAGAGCTGTAAAGCACATTAGTGCTTTTAAAGCTCCTGGGAGAGATGGGTTCCGGGTTGTGTTTTATCACACTTATTGGTTTGCTATTGGGGATTCTGTGTGTGAGTTTGCTAAAAATTGTTTTTTCAAAAACCAAATCCCAAGAGATGTTAATAGAACTCTGATTGCTTTGATTTCCAAAATTAATAATCCTGAGAGTGTGAAACAGTTTAGACCTATTAGCCTCCGTAATGTTTTTTATAAAATTATTTCCAAAATCATTGTTAGCAAATTGAGGCCTCTCTTGAGCAAGATTGTTAGACCTAACCAATGCAACTTTATTCCTGGTAGAAATACTAGTGATAACATCATCATTACCCAAGAGGCTATCCACTCTCTAAATCAAAAGAGAGGTAAGAAAAGTGGTATGATTTTTAAAACTAACTTGGAGAAAACATATGATAACATTTTTTGGGATTTTTTAAAACAAACTCTTGAGGAGTTTTATTTTGATAAAAAACATTATTGAGCTTATTATATGCTGTGTAACCACTGTCAACACTACTGTCATCTGGGATGGGAAACTTCTAGAAGAGTTCACCCCTTCAAGAGGGTTGAGGCAAAGGGATCCTCTGTCCTCATACTTGTTTGTGTTGTGTTTAGAGAGACTTTCTAAAATGATCATCCTTAAAGATGATTGTAAGAAATGGAAAGGTGTGGTGATAACAAGATGAGGGCCTAATCTTACACATCTGTTCTTTGCTGATGATCTAATGTTTTTTGGTCAGGCTCCTTTGTTTAATTGTAGCACCATCATGAAGGTCATGAATGAGTTTTGTGAGGTCTCTGGTTTGAAAATTAATATCCACAAATCTAAACTCTTTGTCTCCCCCAATATTGATAGGAGGAGAGCTAAAGAGCTAAGTACCAAGTGTGGTATTCCACTAACCTCTAAGTTTGAAAAATATTTCGGTGTACCTCTTATTCATGGGAGCGTTACCAGAGGACACTTCACTGATATTTTAGAGAATTACAAAGAAGGTTGGTTGGGTGGAAAGCCAACACTCTATCCATGGCTGGTAGAGCAACTCTCATTAAATCTATAATTGCTTCCATACCTTCATATTCTAAGAAGACTATGTTACTACCTAAAAAGGTCTGTAATGATATTGATAACATAAACAAAAACTTTCTCTGGGGTGATACCCTGGAGAAAAAGAGAGTCCATCTTGTCAAGTGGGATGCAGTTTGCAAAATGAGAAAAAATGGTAGCCTTGGGATCAAAAAAGCTAAGGACCCAAATTTGGCCCAAATCTCTAAGTTACGGTGGAATCTAATCAACCATAAGGAGGGTTTGTGGTGTGATGTACTAAAAAGAAAATATCTAAACAAAACTACCTTCCTTGATTGGAAGAAATTGAATAATGCCTCTTATTTATGGAGAGGTATCATGAGTACTAGAGATATATTAAGAAAATGTGTGAAATGAGAAGTTAGTGATGATAGATCGTTGCATGCTTAGAAAGATTTGTGGTGTGCGAACAAGTCCTTTGAGGATGTTGTTTCCTACACTAACCATATCAGCCAAAGTGATGCTCCTAACATTACCAATGTGAGAGAGCTGCTGAGGGAGGATGGGAAATGGGATGAAAATATTGTTAACTGCAACTTTTCCCATCCCTTAGCTGCTCAAATTTTGAAAGAAAATCCTTCTAGTAACCATGATGTAGACATTCCTGTATGGAAGGGGTCTCATGATGGAGCCCTCACTGTATCCTTTGTGTATGAGTTTATTTTGTGGAACAATGATGACGATGAGGACTGGAATTGGATGTAGAAATTTAGGCTACCACAGAAACTTAAGGTTTTTTGTGGACTATTCTTCATGGTAAACTGTTCATAAATCAAATAAGGCTAAAAAAATGACTGACAAATGACCCTCAATGCCCCTGATGTTGTGGGGTTGAGAATATTAACCACTTATTCAGAGAGTGTTATAAGGCCAAGGAAGTGTGGCTTATTATCTTTATTAAACAGTGGAATAGAGATATGATGAGGAAACCTTGGGCGGATTAGCTTATGAGTAATGCCAAGAAAAAAAAAAAAAAAAAGAAAAAAAGAGCAACATTTTAATGACTATGGTAGATTGCAACCAGGAACGAGCCTTGAAGTTGAATTATGGGCTCTGTACAAGGGTCTAACAGTTATACTCCAAAAAGGTCTAAGCAATGTGATCATTGAAATAAACGTAGCTGAAGTGGTACAACTGATGAAGGAGGAAACAAGAGATAAATGCCCCTTCAAGACTTTGGTGGAGGATGCTAAGATACTCCTTAGAGGATACAACTGATGTAGGAGGAAACAAGAGATAAATGCCCCTTCAAGACTTTGGTGGAGGATACTAAGATACTCCTTAAAGGATGCCAATGTACTGTTCAACATGTTTGGAAGGAAGAGAATCTCTACGCTGATGCATTGGCTAAGTTTGGAGCTGAACAACCTGAAGAGATGATGGTGGTGAATGATCCACTAGCTAAAATTATAAGTCTGCTTGTTGCAAACATGATAGGAATAGCTAGGGAACGGGCTTAGGCCCTTATTGTTGTTTTGTTTCCAATGAAACCAAAAAAAATAAATAATAATGGATGGTCATTAATTTTTTAATGTTTAATCGATATGCTT